GTTAGGGAGTGTTACGAATGTCTTGAACTAAATGATGGTGACAATAGGGTTGAGTGTTTATGGGTAAGAATCAGCAGGAGGGCCAACAAGGCAGACATCGTAGTAGGAGTCTGTTATAGACTGCCCAACCAGGATGAGGAGGCAGATGAAATATTCTACAAACGCCTGGGAGAAGTTTCAAGATCACGAGCTCCTGTCCGTGTGGGGGACTTCAACTTGCCGGATATCTGCTGGGAATACAATACAGCAGGGAGGGAACAGTGTAGAAGGTTCCTGGAGTGTACTGGGGATAACTTCCTGATGCAGCTGGTGAGGGAGCTGACTACGGAAGGTGCCCTGCTGGACCTGCTGTTTGTAAATAGGGAAGGGCTTGTGGGGGATGTGACAGTAGGAGGCTGTCTTGGGAACAGTGATCATGAAATGATAGAGTTTTTGATTTTGGGAGAAGCAAGGAGGGGGGTCAGCAGAACTGCTACCTTGGACTTCTGGAGGGCAGACTGGGCTTTTCGGGAGCCTGGTTGACAAAGTCCCTTGGGAAGCAGTCCTGAAGGGCAAAGGAGTCCAGGAAGCCTGGATGTTTTTCAAGAAGCAAGTCTTGAAAAGAGCAGGTTGTCCCCGTGTGCCAAAAGACAAGCCGTTGGGGAAAAAGACCAGCCTGGCTGAACAGGGAGCTAGGGTTGCAACTTAGGGAGAAAAAGAGGATTTATGGCCTTTGGAAGGAAGAGCAGGCCACTCGTGAGGACTACAAAGATGTAGTGAGGCTATGTAGGGCAAAAATTAGGAAGGCCAAAGCCCAGCTAGAGCTAAACCTGGCTTCTGTTGTCAAGGACAGCAAAAAAAGTTTCTATAAATATATTAGCAATAAAAAGAGGACCAGGGATAATATCTGTCCTCTAGTAGACGGAGCCAGTAACATAGTGACCACGGATGAAGAAAAGGCTGAGGAAAATGCCGTCTTTGCCTCAGTCTTCAGCAGTAGGACCAGTTGTTCCCTGAGTACCCAGACCCCTGAGCTAGAAGACAGGGATGGGGAGCAGAATGAAGCCCTTGTAATCCAAGGGGAAATGGTGAGGGACCTGCTTCAGCACCTGGAGATACACAGATCTATGGGGCTGGATGGGATTAGAGTATAGGCATTTCAGAGAGGCCACTGAGTGTGTAGTTTTTGCCCTTGAGGGGTGGTGGGCCTTCCAATTCTCAAAAATCCTAGCACTCTGCCCCACAACTGCTGAGCTACTACCCCCAGGTGCCTCTCCAGTGAGCCCAGTTATGTGCCCATCCCCCTTCCCATCTAGTTTAAAGCTCTCCCAATGAGCCCTGCTAACTCTACTCCAAGAACTCTATTCCCCCTGTGAGACAGGCTTTTCCCATCTGCTACCAGCAGGCCTGGTGTTCTGTAAATCAGGCCGTAGTCAAAGAACCCAAAACCCTGCTGGCAGCACCAGGTTCGGAGCCAGTCATTGACCTGCTGGCTCTGCCTGTTAACCCCCTCATCATTACCCACAACTGGAGGGATAGAGGAGATCAAGACTTGTGCTCCTGATCCCTGTGGAATGATTACTAAAAATGATCAGTAATACAGCATTGGTCACACATTAAGGAAAGGTATAAAATCAAAAGGCTTCTAGGGTAGAATATAGCCACAGCTGGTATGTGAAGAATCCGCTCCATCTGCTATTCCCTGTACAACATTGCTTGCAGAGCAACACGGGGAGTGGAGTGGAGTGGAGAATCCAAGGCCAAACCCCGTGATAATCCAGCAGACATGGGAACGAGATGGCATCACAGAAGAAAAACAGCGCGAAGGATGGAACAGAGTGGAGACACTGTGGCTAAAACCCTGTGATAAACTGGAGACTTGGGGACAAATAGAGCCCTCGAAGGTCTTATAGAACTGATAAACTGCCTACTTGTTACCCTGAACCAACAATCTGACACTTTTTTTGATACAATGCTGTCCTTTGGTGAACTTTGCTCATTATAATGTCATTATAATATCAACACACAGAGCCATCCCAAAAGCTACCTGCCTCCAAGGTGCAACCACTCCTTGAATCTGCACCCTAAATTTTTCTTAAACTATACCTTTAAATGTGAGGCGAGAAAATTTTACACCAATCATAATGGAAGTATTTATGACTAGAGTCACTCAAACTCCACCTTGAAGATAACAAATAGTATAAAAGCAGTCCAAGAAAAGGGGGATGTGAGGGAAGACACCATCGTGGACTTCTGGGACCAGTCGACGAGCTGAGCCTCTCTTCTCCCCCATAAGGACGCTTGTGGGTAAGATTCGAACACTTGGCTATACCAAGTGCTTCCCCAGGAAACTTAAAAATCTCTATATAGAGTAGCTTTATAACTTAGCGCTTTTGTTAACTGAGCTATATTGTTAGCATCTTTAGTATTCGCATGTGCTTTGCAGACAGTCAAAATCACTGGCAATCCAAAAGAACTTGTGTATCTGTTCTTTAAATAAACTGTACTGTGTAGGCAGCGAGTCGTTTGGGTTTTCTCATTGAACACGACCGAAGCGAGGCCATGCTACTTCATGAGCACGACTGGGCTGAAGGCGCAGTCTGCTATGAGTGTATCCAGAACCGTAACAGTTTAATATATTAAACGCGCCTGGTCTGATCGTGGTGAATTTGGCATCACTCAGAATTTAAGCCTAGCTGCACCTCGCCTCCCACCTCGGTGAGGAGTGTTAGAACGCAGTGGGGTTTATTTTCTGCCAAAACTACTTTGCCCCTTAACGCAACAATCCCTTAACCAGTCAATGGAGGATCTGAAGCCATAAAACATTGTGGTCTTTCACAATCACTTCCCCACAAGAATTAACCCACATTTTCAGCCCATTACTGAGTTCTATGGTCAAGTTATACCATCTCTAAATGAAACACTTGTTTGCTTTGTACACTTTTTCTGGAGATGAGTAATCTCCTCTGTCTAGTGCCATTTCATCAAGCTAAAGTAGTTCAGCTTTTAGAGCTTAGGCCACAGCTGACAAGGGAGGAACTCAATAAAAAAACGTCATGGTCACACAACACAAGATGCCAACCCAGCACAAATTCACTCTTTTGGATCCAATTTCCTCTAAAATCTGGAGTTAATGACATGTTTGTGGGTGCAGTGACAGGTGTCACCTACCCTCCCACACGTGGTGCAAGCAGAGTGTGGCAGCTCCCTGGTCAGCACAAAGTCTTGCACATGTGCTGGGGCCAAGGCGCCACCATGCCTATGCCTGATCCAGATAAATTTACACCACTGGCTGATCCAACAGAGGCCACTAGAGCCACAGCCTTGGTCTCTCCTGCTTCCACCACCACATGCTCTGCAATCCTGGGATGTCCAAGACAATTGCATAGCTCTGACTCCAGCAAATCAGTAAAAGTGTGTCCTTTCACACTTTTCACAAAGTACACATTATTTAGGAATTCAAGCCCTGGTTTCAAAAGCAGCTGGAGACCATGGGGAATCTTGTCTTATGACGACTCAGGTCATCAGCGGTCAAATGCTTCTGAGTTAACCTGAGACCTGTGAAGATTCCACAGGCTGTGTGAGTGGTGTATGAACCTCAGTCATCTCCCCTGTCCCCAGCTTGCCCTCAATATCCTTTCCCTTGGCACTCCCCCGGCACTCCCAGGTTCTGACTGCTTGCTGCTTCCCCAAGAAAACTTTCCTTTGGCAATTTCTGCCACGTTGTTGCCCTTGCCATGGCCCCATTGACTGTGCTCTCTCTGCTGGTGTGCGCAAAGTCTTCCCACTAGCACCCACCACAGACATCAGAGAGATGTTTGTGACCCATCCTCACTTTCCAGTTGCCTCAGGCCAGGACCTGAGCAGTACACAGCAGGGACATCTGCAGCAATGAGACCTTCCCACTGCAATCAGCTGCTCCCGAGAGAGAGAAAAGCCTCTCTACAAGACACTACAACCTTTCTTTCATCAAATATTTCTAAGCTGTTTCTAGACTTTGGAGGGGTGGGAGGGAAGTTTTTCAGAATTGTAGGATAATTCAGGCTTCAGGAGGTCATGCAGCCCAACCTTCAGCTCAAAGCAGGATCAATGACTTCCAGTTTCTAGCACGTGCTGTTGGACTCACGGACAAGACCCATGTCCTTCAACCCACATCTCCTGTAGAGCCACCCTGCCTTGGCTGCAGACAGAAGCGGGAGCAACACAACCGTTCATCACAACTGAGCATAACACAGCCTCAGGACCACCTGGGCAGATGAGAGGGAGGTGCACCCCATCTCTAGCTCTAACCCCTGCTAAGAAGCCCTTAAGGAAAAAGGTGCTAGTTACTGGTGGTTTCATGGGAACATGAGGAAGAGTTGTGTCAGCCCTTCAAAAGTCTGGCGTTCCCTGGACTGCAAAGCCACATCGATGCCTGGTGGAGGGGCAACCACAGCCCCAACAGAGACGAAAATTTCCAGCAGGCTGCAGGCCTGCACAGTACTCCCTGAAAGACCATCTTCCTAAATTAACTGAAATTTTACGTAAGTTACCCAGCTGCATCAGGAAGCCTTGGTCTCATTTACAAGCAGCTCAAGCATCCTTCCGGGCATTGCAGAAACACTCAGAGACTTCAGGTTTCTGCATACATGGCAGGCAAATGTTCTCCCCCCAAAGCTGGCACTTCAGGGGGTGTTTTTGCTCCAGTCAAAATCACCTTTAGTGAGATGCTTAACATGGATGTGCAGAAACCCATCTGCCTGTTCGTCCATGCAGACACCCAGACTTGCACACAAGGACAAAGCTGATGCATGCTGCCCTCCCCTCCACAGCTTCCGCTGCATGTACTTATGTCACGCGTCTCTCAGGTTGGCTTTTTCACTGGTCCTTTTGGAAATGCACTGCAATTCTTTGCCCAGTATTTGCACACCAGACTTTGACTGCTCTAAAGCCAAGCACAGCCCTTCTCTCTCATCACCTCCTCAACTGCCTCCAGCCGCTTCCCGACCTCCCCTTCCAGGTGCCACAGGGCAGAGACCCACCTGAGTTTTCCTTATCCGCAGGTCAGCAGATGACCTGTTCAGTCCTTCCTCTTGTTCAATACTCTGCTCGATACCTGGTCAGGGTAGAAGGACACAGATTATTTCGTGCTGTTTAGAGAAGAAAAAGAGATAACTGGCAAAAGGACTGTAGAAGACTGAAGCTTGTGAATTGAGGAGCATCTGGCACTGAGCAGTCCACAGCTCCTGACTCTAGCCCACAATTTAGCCTGGACTGGCAGCAAAGTCCCATTTCATTACTGCTAAACACTCAGTGCCTGGCCATCGGCCGAGACTTGGTCCTGTCGAGGGCAGCACCTGTGACTCACGGGCTGGTAAGCGAGGGTTTCAATAAAAAATTGATTGCTCAGGTCTAATGCCTTACTTTCCAGTATTCAAACAAAATGGAGTGCTGTTGTCCCTCTGCTAGGCAGGAGGAGGAAATCCAGAGCTAAAATGTCTCTACAAAACACCAAAGTTCAAGACTTCTCCAGGGATCCTAAAAATAGTAGGTCTGCCAGCTGCCCGACCTTGCACAGGGAGGACCCACCAGGCTGGCGAGAGAATGCTTCATCTCGCTGAACAGTCCTCTGCAGCAAAGCACAGATTTGCCCTTTTAATTATGCCTGGTAGTGCAACTAAGTGAGATGAATTCCTCACATGTCCAAAGACCACAAATCACAGCAGGGAGGAGCGCTGCCCTGCTCAGCATCCCACTGTGGTTTTGGCATGGAGAGGGCATGGGATTGCAGGGCAGGAGGTCTAGCACAGAGCAAGGCAGTGCAAATCTGCTCCTCAAGGCCAGCTTGGGACATGTTAACTCAAAAACTTAAATTCAGGGACTGAAAAAGCCTGGAAGAAAGCTCCCATCAACAGGCTGGCCCAGTGTTCAGAGATACATGGTTCCACGTAGGCCACCAGGTGTGAGCTGGCATCCCTTGAGTTTGGCTAATGACTCCATTCCCAATGCAGATGTCCCACAGCTCTCTGAGCCCAGCTGTCCCCAGCACGTTCCACACTGGAGCAGGTCCCATGACCCCAGCATGGGGCAGGTTCCCCCTGCAACAGGGCCTCCCCATTCCCTGGAGCTGCCCAGTGGCTCCCAATTACCACTCAGCGCAGCAGGGCAGAGCGCAGGACACCACCACCACAGTGTTTCTGCTCTGTGCTGGTTAGCATGGGTGGCCCCACAACACTGGGAGAGCAGCAGCACTGTAAGGAAGACTGTGGGCCAGGGGAATCCTTCACGGTGCTGGCAAAGGGTGTCCAAAAGCACAGCATACTCCAGGGAAGTTCTGGAGAACATCAGCACCAATTCTGCACTCCCTCCTGCTCTCTCCAGGAACAAGTGTCTGTATCCAGAGCTTATCTGAAAGGTCCCATTCCACACAGCCAGACAGCCACGGCACTTCTCCTGTGCACTCCCCTGCCTGCGAGCGCACTGGCTGCTGCCCGCCCAGCATATTTCATCAGCAATTGATCTTCCTCCTCACTTGTCATAAACCATTCCCTGTTCCCAAGGAACAGTATTGGCAAACATTGTACATTTATGATAATTAATAAAATCACATTTTCCCAAGAAGCTGGTAATTAGAATTAGCCACTGCATGAGCAATGTCGGTCCTAAAGAAGTCAATTCGTTGTCACCAGATGGTGTTTTTGATCAGTCCTGACTGTTTCCTTTCACTGATCATGCTGGCCACAAGGCGATTTGGGACAAAGCACAAGGACTATAAATCTGCTGCTCCAGGCAAATACAATACTGGTAGGTCTTTTCTGGAAGAAGGAAACAGGAATCGGAGCCTGTCCTGTAATCCTTCAGGCTGTCAAAGCCCCTTAAAAAACACAGAATAAAGCAACTATGGAAAAGGACTTATGTTTTGCACAGGCTAAACCCTGCACCCATCTGGACACTAGGGATCCCAGTATGGCTGGGGGGCGCTCTGGGCTGTGGGAAGGGCCCATGGTCTATGAATCAGGTAAGATGGCCCCTAGCTCTCCTTCGGGTCTAGCTGAGATCACGTATCAGGAGGACAGAGAGCAGCAAGGGGATAACAGAGCTACAAGTACACACGGGACATGGTCATGCCACTAGTGACAAACCTGACCAACGGCTCCAGACATATCTAAGTCCTCCACGACTGTGGGGCTCCCATGAAACCCTGGAATTAGGGAGAATGCTGATGCCATGGAGGAAGCACCAGCTCTTCTCCCACCCTTCAGGCATGGCCAAGTGTCCTGTAACAAGCTCAACCAAATCCCACGCTGAGGGCCAAGACCACTGCAGGCAAATCTGAGCAACGCTGGGGTGACCTGCCTCCTGTCTCAAGATGCTGCCATCCTCACTGACCCCCTGAATCCCTGGGGTCCAATCTTGGGCTTTTGGGCTCGTCCAGGTGCTCCAGCACAACCCCGGCCATTGGTGGGCTGACAGTCATGTTGTTCTCACTCCCTGCTTGTCAAAGAGATTGACTGACTCTTCCAGTGCTGGAAACCAACAGTTACATTGGCCATGCTCTGTGCCTGCACTGCCCAAGGCAGAGGCAAGACAAGACAACGGGATGTGCCGATAAGACAGGATAACCTTCCCTGAGCTCAATTGCCCCTTTCTTCACCACCTGCCCCACAGAACCCATGTCTAGGGGCAGCAGTACCTCCTCCCCATCCTGGCTATGCTGGCAGTGTAGCCAGTATGGGCAGGAGGCACCGCTGCCTTTGGCAGAGCCACCAGCAATGGCAGACTGTGCTGGGGACGGAAAAGCAAGGGAAGACAAAACCAGCCTGGTGGGAGCAGGATGCAGGCAGCGAGAAGCATGAACCCCGGGACAGCATGCCCCATGCCAGCATACTGCCAGAGAGCCGGCAGCACCACCCCTCCCGGCTGGAGCCACACAGGGACCATGGCTCTCTGGATGGGACCCCTTGGTGCTGTGCCTGCCTAGGCTGCCTGTGCCAACCTGGCTCACCAGAAAAGAGGCTTGCAATTTCCACAGCAGCACCTCTTCAACCACTCAACCCTGGCAACCTCACCTTTGGCCATGCAGTGGCTTTGCTCAGAGCTGGGGCTTACCAGGAGAGCCCAACGCCTGCCAGTGCTGGTGGCATAGGACTTGCCCAGAGCCCATCAGGTTCTCGTGGGCCCTTTCCCTCACCTCCATCCTGGGAACGGGGAACAAGGGGGCAAATTCACAAAGGGCAAATCAAAGCAGCTAGAGGATGCTAGGGGGAGGGAAGGTGATGCCCATCCCCAGGTAATCCCTGCAAAGCAATGGCAGACGCCACTTCTGGCTGTCTCTTCCCCCTGCTGTGTGACCCTCCCAGAGCCAGCTCAGGATGCCACAGAACGCACAGCCGGGGTAGGGCTGTGCGTCTGTAACCTTCCCTTTCCTACCTAGGGCAAAACACCCCAAAACTGCCTTGACCTGACTCAAACACCATCTGCCCTGCTTGCAGAGGGTTGGGATGACAGCCAGGGCCCCATGGCATTTCTGGTCATGGGGGATGACTGGGAAGCGCTGAGCAGTGGAGGTGCGGAGCAGGCCCCAGGGCAGCAATGCTCCCTGCCTGCTGTGTCCCCAGCGTGGGACAGGAGCTGCAGTACCTGCTGCTCGGGGCTGCAGGACAAGAGCACAGTGGGCAGAGCCCCACAGCAGCATTGCAAGCTAATACTCACTCTTTAGCTTGGAGCGCACTTTGTTCGCTGTCTTCTTTATGTCAGACATCAGCTCTTCCAGCTCCTCCTTCGTTTCTGGAGAGAAAGAAAAGAGCAAACACGGATGTGTTGGTAGCATTGCTAAAATCTGCTGCCCTGCCCCACAGAATGTGGAGACCAGAGCTACAAACGGTCCCACCTCCAGACTGAGAGCACTTCCACCCCACACACCCTGTTGGACTCTCCTCACAGTCCTGAGCCTGGGAATGACCCTGCTGCTGGTCGGAAAGCAGGCAGCCGGAGAGTCATTATGCAGGACCTCCTGCCCCCACAGCCCTAACCTGCCCCATACTCAGCGCTCAAGAGAAAGTGGAAGGGATGGGATACACAACCCACACTGCTAGTTCCTGTAGTGGAGAGAAAACCACTGCGAGACACCAAAAATCTTCTACTAACCAAGGGCTGATCTCCACCGGCTCCTGCCACACCGGCTGGGGGTCCCCACGGGGTTTCAAAAAGGCCCGGTCTCC